CCTAAATCAATACTAACTAAATCTTTTTTATAGTTTTTGAGAGTAAGGCAGTGCAAACTACAATCAGGAACAAGAAATTCACAAAAGCGGAGTCATACTTTTTGTTTGGAACGAAGTGGAAATGGAATAAAACATTAAATTTCAACCTAAAGAGTTGTATGGTACCACAAATGGTCAAAAAAATTACACTAAAATTTAGCGGAACGATGTGGCATTGAAACAATGTGAGATAAAATGTTAGTTAGACTTATGTACAATTAACTGTCGGCTTGCAAGTGAAGTTAGATCGGAAGCAGAAACTCAAAGTACTAAATTTAATTAAATGGATCGATTTGGGAAAAAAACAAAATATTGTAATATGTTACATTGATTCAATTGCTTTCAAATGTTATTAAATATTATAATTTGTAGCATGCATCAAGTAAAATGTTACTTATTTCCTGGGTTTTTTAATAATTAGAAGTGAAATCGACACGGAACGCATTGAAAATGAAACATTTGCAACCAGTAACTATATGAAGATTAACTTATTAAAACAGATGTATATAGCTATAAATAAACAATGGTTATTGCAGCGGAACGAAGTGAAATTGAAACACTGAACATTCATTATATTGCCAAAGTTGAGAGTGAAAATCGTGTATGCATATATTTTACAATGCTACAGCGCTATTTTAGTAATAATATCCCTAGGTAATAATTACAAAATGACAACAAGATTTACATAGCTATATGTACATACACACATATGTAATTATACATACATACATACATACATATGTATAATAAGTATATACACATGTGAATATACAAAAGGTCTTAAAATTTTACGCTTATCACAGACGCTACAGTTCACACGCTTCACCACTCAAATCTCTCCTTGCGCTTGATGCTCCTAGTTTTATAGGAGAAATTATGACATTAAATTATATTAAAATTTTTAGATGGCTTGTCAAGTAATTACAAATTATAAGCTGAAAAAATTAAATAGCCTCTTAAGTGTGTAAATCATATATATGCATACGCCAAGATATGAGGACAGGTGAAACTTGTTGAAGTGAGATTAAATATACTCTTATGAACATATGAGCTTGGGCGTGGATATATGTTCATGTGTACATATAATATATATGTATGTGTGATTTTGTGGTTTCTAGCATGGTAGCTGTGGCTATACACTTAAAAACTTATACAAAACTTCGCTTTCTTCCAATACTGTCACTGCTCCTCAAAAATTAATACCAACTGGTTGTATTTTAACTAGTTTGCGACTAGTTGGTAAAATCAATTAATCGTCAATAGACTTATATATAAATTTTCGCGCCTTAAATACACATTTTTTTTATATTAAAATTTAGTTCCATTAATTTTATTTACAGTTAAATTAAAAAAATTGGTTTTAAATAAAGCTTTTATCGTAACTAAGATAAGTAAGCTGATACAGCGTTCACAAAAAAAAAATATGCAAATGGACCGAATTTAACTAGTTAGTAACTAGTCTGTTAGTTTTATTTTTGAGGCATAAACTTACATTTCCGGGTATTATTCCATTAACAAACATTTTTTTTATTCAATATTAAAAATAAAAAGTGTTAAGTCTTGAACAAATTAAGCATTGCGCTCACTATTCTGTAGTAAAACACAAAAAATTTTGTTTTAAACGCAGCTTTTACCGCAATCTACAAGGAAGTTGATACTCCAAAACATCAAAAATGTACCTGTAGTTTGTCGTATTTATGTTTTGAGGTGAAACTTACATTTCTGGGTCATAATTATAAATATATTTTTGTCAACACTAAAAGGACAATCTTTTAGCTCTTTAACAAATTAAACTCTGGACTCAATTATGTGTAGTAATAAACGAAAAATTTAGTTTTTAATGCAGTTCCTACATAATTTGCAAGCATGTTGATACAACTTTCGCAAAAATATAAAAACTTCAACTGGTCCGAATTCAACTAGTTACTAAATAGTCAGTAAATTTTATTTTATGGGTAATATTGGTTTGGAACTAGTGTATACAATCTACATATTTTTGAGGCGTAAATTTACAGTCGTTGGTAATATTCGCTTATTAAACACATTTTTTATATAAAAATATTTTTTTAAGCTCTTTATTAAATTGCGCACCTTAAAAATTACACAATTACCTACACTGGAGTGCAAAATTAGTTTTTGATTGAGATACACATACAGGCATGCTTATCAGTACATTCATCCTTCTCTCTATAAGTATACATATACATTTGTGTGTTTTTATATAGAACTTCATATGCCAAACTTTGCGCAAAAGTGTCATTTGCAAAGCTTATTTGAGCGGAAGATTGTTACAAGCAGAATACTAGCACACACACACTTATAATGTCACACATATGTATATTTACTACATATATTTACTTATAAGCTTTTATACTCATATGTATGTATATGCATGTGCCCCTCAACAGATATGAGAATTGTGTAAATTTTTAACCACTTTTTGCTTTCGTTTCGCGCTCAGATTCTTTTTTATATTTTTGTTTATTTTACATTCTCGCGTTTTCTGCGTAGCAGCTTTACAATCAGCTTGAGTGCGGCAATTTATTTCAAGTTGCAAACAACTATTAGCGTTGGAAATTGTTGTGGTTGTAATGGTTTGTTAGTCGCTGCTCGCTGTATGTATGCTTTGTTATTGTTATTGGTGTTGTTGTTGCTACTGTTGTCCCAGCGACACTCGCATTTGTGTTATCGTACGCCATTCACTTCCATTTATATATGGCACATGTTACGTGTACTACATTAGACGCTTGTAACCGCTTAATGCAATCAATTTTTCGCACCCACACACACACGCACCAACTCACTCCTAAACAAACCAAAGGAGTGCATGAAAACACCCACACACACGCATTTAATTGGTGCTATTTATGCACGAGTCACAAAAAACTACTTACAAATCGTATAAAATGCGCAGAAATAATATGAAGCACATACACACCCACTAAACGCAGCACAAACATACAAATAATCTTTATATAACAACAACACATACACGTGCGCCCTCACCGAGCAGTTTTTCACTCGTTGGTTAACTATAGCTGCACCATTGCCGTCGCTTGTCGATCCAGCTGCCAATGCTACGGTTTTATAAAACTGTTTTTAATAACTGTAAATCCGCAAATGCCACTCTGACCCGCCCAACACCTCACGCTGCCAGCATGCGAAAATAGTTTCTTATCTTCAATTTTTCTTGAATTAAATAGTTCTTTGTTTGCATTTAATTGGTTGATGCTTGTGGCAAATCAAATACACACACACACACACATGCAGCTTTGAAGCTTAACGAGTCGTCACAAATTGAGTTAGAGCAGTTTAAGGATAAAAAAAAATAACAATAAATTTATAACGAAAATAAAATATTGTGGAAGCGAATAGAGTTTTGTCATAGCAGCAAAGAACTCAGAGCGGCACTTGCTGTAATTACTTGAAGTCTTTCTTCTAGGAATGACTGTGTTTTAATCAAATCTTTGCTTTAATTTTAAGGCTTTTCCTCATTACAATCGTCTTAGAGCTTCTGCTGAGTTCAAGCAATCGAGCTTAATCTTCGCTATTGATCAAAATGAATACAAACCAATTACTATCGTATTATGAATCTAGGCTCTCTAGGCTCTACATTCAAGGTCGAGGTGAAAATAGCATAACCGTTAACGAAGCCTGTGCAAAAACTTATATAAACAAGATTGATGAGATAGAACTGTAGGCTCTGAATAATATTGTACTTTCCAGCAAATACATTGATTATTATCTGGAATCCAGAGAGAGCAGTTGACAAATTTAGATAGGAATGAAAAAAAAACTAAATACTTGACTAGACATCTGTGCTCATGCATCGAATATTTGGCGAGCCCGCAACTGCCGTGTTTACTTTTTTGAAGCATTTTTGTGGAGTACGGAAAGCCCAAGCAATTTGGTTCACAAGTTCACAAAAGACTTTAATCAGAGTTCCTTCATTCCGAATACCGACATTTATAAAGCGAAATAGGCACTAAATGAGCTCTTCACACTAACAACATAGTTGACAGTTTGTGTGATCTATTGGCTTTTTTGGAAGACTTTTTTCTGTTGTTTACAAAAGTATTGTAAATAAAACAATTTAAAGCATTATTGTTCTGTGATGAAGGTTTGTGTTTCCTGTGCTCAATAAAGGTTAATACAATATATCACTCAGCTGAAGATAGCAAAGAGGTGGAGAATTTTTATGGAAGGAATGAAAATTTTTATAGCCATATTGTATGGCAGCTATATGCCATAATAGTGCGATCTAAATTACTTCTTCTGAGATAATACCATTGTCTTCAAAAAGAGGGCATGCTAAATTTCATGAAAATAACTTATCAAATAAAAAAGTTTTCCATACAAAGATTGGTTTCAGATCGCTCAGTTTCTATGGCAGTTATATGCTATAGTGGTTCGATCTAAATAATTTCTTAAGATATTATGCTGCTGCCTTTGATAGTAATCCATGCCAAATTTCTTGGAAATATCTTGTCAAATATAAAAGTTTTCCATACAAGAAGTGGTTTCGGATCGCTCAGCTTGTATGGTAGCTAGGTGCTATGGTGGTCCGATATTGGCAAATGAACAGTTTCTTGGATAGAAATGGACGTGTGCAAGAATTCAGATCGATTTCTCAAAATCTGAGGGACAGACGGACGGACACGACTAAATCGACGCAGCTCGTCATACTGATTATTTATATAGGTATGTATATTATATGTTTTTAAGCGCCTCCGACGTTTCCGTCGACGGTGTTACAAACTTCATGGCAAAGTTAATGTACCCTATGTAGGGTAAAACAATGCTTAAAACAGCTCATTTCAATAAATAAAATTTCAAATAATAAAATAAACGAACTACTCATATGCAATTACTCTCACTGAGCCATGTGTATTTGTATATACCTATGTACTTCTCTCTCGCATACGAATTTCTACTTTTATTTTCTAAATTCTTTTGTTTACCTCTTGAATTTATGTTTGCAACGTCTTTGTTTACACTCACTTTGCGGCAAAGTGTGCGATAAAAGCAAATCTCCGTGGCTGAAGCGGCGTTATGTGTCCACCGGAGTAAGCGGGCATCAGCTGTTTAAGGCAGAACGGCGGACGTGTTGATTTCAATCACTGCGTTGAGTGTCTATGCATTGATCTGGGTCGGCATATGTTGATGTGTGTTGCTGCTGTGCCTTTATTTAATCATAATTCAATAATAGATTTTTAAATAGACGGCGCTTGGGTAGCCAAACAATAATAAATTGTTGTTAACTGTTTGAGATTTTTTTCTGTAGAGTTATTTCAAGATACTGTCACTTCTTTACGGCATGTGTGGATCTGCTTTGAATTTTTTAATATTATATATAATATTATATACATTATATATACTATTATTGTTGAACGCGTATAGTTTTTTTGTTTTAGAATAAACTTTATACATTGTATTTTCAAATCAATATATTTTTTGTTTCTTACTGATTATGTACAAAGATATTCAAAATAATTAAAATAGTACTTCCTCGAAAGCTCTTCAATAAAAATTAAGAAATAAAACCGACTTTTATATATTTTCAAATATATTAGAAATTTTTTCAAATTATTTGCAGTTAGTTATCTAAAACTTTAAATTTTATATGTATACAAAGAGTGAAAAATTTTCATATTTGAATAGTCAAAATTGTTATCTTTGATTTTATTTTTAAGATTAAAACTCGAAAATTTATTTTAACTTTTGCTACTTTTGACAAAAAAAAAATTATAAGAAAAAAATTATAAAACAAATGTTTACTGTTAAAATTTTGTTTAAACTTTTAAGATCTTGTTTAAAATTTAGAATTTTCTAAAACACAATGTATATAGAGAAAAAAATTTTGATTTTCAAATATAGAAATGTGATGTTTTTTTTTTATTGTTAAGATTAAAATGCAAAATAAATAAATTTTTCAAATGTTCTTAAGAATAGTAGTCGAAAAAATGTTCTAAATAAATTTATTTTTAATTATATAAAAAAAATAAATTTTTTAAGATAAAAAATGGTAAAAAGTCGTGTTTTTAAAGTTTTTTCTGATTAAAATTGTCAGCAAAAAATTAATATTTTTTTGCCTAAAAATTAATTGATATCTTAAATTTTTAAAAATAAAAATAGAAAGTTAAAAATTTTTCAATTATGAACTTATATTTCAAAAATAAAGTGTTTTGAGATTAAGAACGAAAAAAATTTTATTATTTATAATTTCTTTAAGTTTAAATTAAAAAAAAATTTATAAAATAAAGAAAATTTTTATATTTTCTTGCCATAACAAAAATTGATATTTTAAAATGTTTAAGAAAAAAAAATTGAAATTTTTAGAATAAAATTAGTTTGTTTAAAAAAGAAATGTTAACAGTTCTAAAAGTGAACTAATGTAAGCTTTTTTCTAAATTTTTATTATAATTTACTTTAAGAAAAAATGTCGGAAACTGAAACGTGGCTTTTCGAACTTTTTGAGTTGAACTATAGTTTTGTGCACAGCGACGCTAGAACACCAAAGCAAAATTTAACTTTTTTAAATTTCAGATTTTATTTAAATTAAAAATTGCTTTTTTTTAATCAAGAGTTTATTTGTTTTATTTTAAAAAGTATTTTTTTTTTGAAATTTTATTTTTCAAAACGTTTTTATTTAATTACATTTTTTAAATTAATTATAATTTTTAAATGTAAAATTATTTTGAAGCACATTTTTTTCTTCATTTAATGTGTTTTTTTTTCATTCGATTTATTTGTGATTACAAATTCTTGGAATTTTTTCACTTTTCAAATATAATTAATTTCAAAATATAAAATTTTAACTAATTATGATTTATTATCACACTCTGATTTAAATTTTTTGTTTCACTAATTTCCCGCCAAAATAAATTTCACACTCTTTCCACTTACTTCTCACTCACTTTCAGTTTCACCACCTTGATTTATTTGCCCGAGCCGGCGCGTCCGTTCACGGCGTTGTCAAACGCATGAATGATTTACTGCCGAGAAGTTTTTCGCCTGCCGGCTGATGCTGTGTCAATAGTGCACTTATGTGAAAGCAGTGGCATGCCATTCGTGCCTTCGTCAGTGTCAAAAAAATATTGCGAAAAATATTGATAAAAAGCTTTTTTTCATACAACCGTGCTTTTGTAGAAAGCTTTCGATAATATTACTTTCTGTTGAAATTAGTTGAAATAGTTGAAGAAAGCTTCAGTGCATACGAAATATAAACTCAAACCGTTTTCAGGAGCTTTTTCATAAGCTTAATGAGTTCGCGACACTAATTAAAGTTACAAAAGCTCTCATTACTGTTATAGCTTGGGTGTCTGTTAACAAATTGAGGCATTTTTGAGTTTAAATAAAAAATTGATAAACAAAAATAGTAATTTATTTATACGTTGAGTTCAAATTTAATTTTAATACTTTTTTTTTCAAATTTAAACATTTTGTTTGTTAATTATACAAAATCGAAAATTTTTTGGCTCTCTTCCCAAACAGCTATTGGTTTTATTGCTTAAATGTGCATTTTTGGGTAGGCTGAGCTCTGACCGAAATTCAGTTTCGCAACGCTGCTTTGTGTGCTCGCCTGTACGTGTGTGGGCGTGAGCTTTGCATGGCTTAGAGTAACAATGCCACCGAAAGTGCGGTTGTGGCGGTCAACGACAAGTGTTAAATTTTACACTAACTCATTAGCACATACATAAATATAACGGACACACAGCGAAATTTAATGGTAGGATCGGCAAACTAACCGAAAAGGGCAAAGGTCGCGTTAGAGCGGATAGGAGCGACATATAAAAGGGCTGCATTTTAAATGAAATACATACATTCGTTTATGCTTGGGTAGGCGTTACTAAAGAAAACCAAATCATTAGATATTTTAAATCAAATAAAAATTAAATAGAAATTGGTGTAAAATTAACTTAATTTAATTAAACAATTTATTTTTATTTTTTGTAAATATTGATCAATCACAATTTTTTTTTTTTAAATGTAGTGTAAATAATTTTTTTTTTATCAAATTAAATAAAAAATGTATTTCCTTGAATTTAAGAAAAAATTATGGAAGTTATTTAAATTAATTAAAAAATAATAATATTTGATTTATTGAATTTGGAAAGAAAAGTAATTTTAATTGAAAAAAATTTATTTAATTATACTAATTAACTGAATGAATTAAAAAAATTATAATATTATATTCGATTTATTGACTTTAGGAAAAAACGTAGTTTTATTTGAAAAAGTTTATTTGTTATAATTTGTTTCGTATAAACTTTTAGTATAATTAAAATTAAATTATTTTTAACTTTTTAATTTTGTTTTTTCACACTCAGAAGTGAAATTCTTTGGTTCACTAATAAATAGTGATATGAAGTAAGATCCAAAATATGTCAATAAATTTAAAAAACCAACTTTTCAATGCAAAAATTTTTGTAATGAATGATAAATAATAACTCTTTCATAAAATAATTTAGTTTAAATTTAATGTTTTTGATTTAAATAAAAAATATTTTATTGTACTTAATTAATTAGGAAAATTATTGCTGTTAACTTAATTAATATTACCTACATTTGTTTTTAAAAAAATAAAAAATAATTTGATTAAACCAATTTACATTATAATTAATTAAGTACACCAAGAAGTAAATAAATAAAAATACATAAAACTAACTTAATTTGAAATTAAATATAAATCTTAAATTTTAAAATTAATTTGAATTAAAATAAAATTAACAAAAAAACAAATTATTAAACAAATTAATTTAATGTAAGCTTAACTAAAAAAAAAATAATCAATAAATTACAATTAAATTTGACATACACTTTTAGAACAAAACTCAAAACTTATTTTAATTAAATACGGAAAATTAGAATAATTAACATTACAGTAAAATAATTTTAGATATTTCAATTATATTTAAAAAATTAAATTAATTTGATAAGGAAGAAAGAATAAAATGTTGTAAAATTAAATAGAAATAAAACTAAACTAAAAATAACTAATAATTAATTAGATTAAAATTGCTTTCACAAATTAAATTCAAAAATTTTAAATAAAATAATGGTTTTAATAAAATGTATTTTTTAATTTTAAAATAATTTATAAAAACCGTTTTATTAATAAAAGCTTAGTTTAATTTAAATTTAAGTGAAATAATTACAATTAATGTAATTCTATACAATTAAATGAAAACATTAAGCTTATTATATTAAAAATGTTGAAATGTATCGTAATTTAAATTAAATGAAAATAATTTCAAAAATTCAGTTCTAATTAAAAAATTAAATTTATTACTTTTATTACGGAAAATAAACATTTACAAAACAAAATAGAAATAATATAAAAAAAATTAATTGAATAAAATTTAAATTAAAATAAAATAATTTTAAAAATTTATTTCTAATTAAATAATTAAATTAATAAGCTCAAATACTTAAAATAAACATTTACAAAATAAAATAGAAATAAAAAACTTTAAAAATTTTTTTTATTTAATTATATTTAAAAAAATATACAAATTAAATTTTAATAATTGAAATAAAATATTAATTATCAAAATGATTTAAAAGAAATAAATTATTAAAAATTGAAAAAATTATATAAAAAACGAAAAAAAATATAATGTAAGAAAATTTGTTATATTAATTATGCATATACTTAGAAAAAAAATTATCTCAAAATTATTTTAAAAAAATATAACAACTTTAAAATTAATTTTTAAAAATATTAAAAAAAAGGAAAAATTATGAAAAATTAAAAAAAATTAATTAAGAAAAATAGATTGTGTAAAATATAAAAATTGTTTTAAATTTATGAAACTATTAAAAAAAAAATAAAGTTAATTTTTAGACAGATTATGAATAATGATTGAATAAAGTTAAAAAAACAATTAACTGAATTTAATTGAAATTAACAATTAAATTAATGCAGTTAGCGCGTAAACACATTTGGCTCTCCCTATCCAAACGCACGTATGACAAATGTTAATTGTAACAAACAGCAACAGTTTGTGTGACTGCCACCCCACAACCTTTACCCCCACCCATCTCAGCTGCCACACACGCCCTACAAATTGCCTACCTATCACATTGGGAACTTTGTTGGTGTTGCTCTTTGAATTACGCGATAATTAGAGTAATTAATTACGCTGTTACTGCAATGCAGAGTTGCACGATTGTAACATAACACACACACACACATACACACAGACACAAATATGGTAAATGTGAAGCGCTAACTACCTGTGGATAGTCAGGCTTTGTTGCGCCGATGTAATTTTAGTATTACGTTGTTTTTGACCCGCTTTCAGCTCCTGTGTGTGTGGTTGAAGGTGTGTTAATCTGTGTAGCTTTCCACAAATGTATTCATTTTCAGTGAGATATGTAATTTAAGTTCGGGTGAATAATTTTTGCCTGCCTTTTGTTCGTTTGCTGTGCGCTGCGTCTATCAGTGATCAGCGCGTAATTTCGTTTGTCGGTTTACATACGTGTGTTCGTGTGGTCGATGGCTATCTCGAGATACGATTCCAAAACCACAATTACCACATTCATTCATTTGTCGCCGCGAGAAGTGAAAACTGCAAATTATTTTCACTCGCGCTTTTTCGATTTAATGGATGTTAAATTTCGTGTCTTAAATATTTTGATTCGAAAATTTAATTAAACCAAATCAAAAAACCAAAAAAATAGAAAAAAATTCCTTAATAAATATGAAAATTTTTTATTATTAATTTTGTTTAATTATGTCAAAACTTTACTTGAAAATTTTGAACAATTTGGATAGAATTGGTTAAAAAATATTACAAAAATGCAAAAAACTTATTTTAAATTAAAATTTATTAACTAAAATTTTGTTTCTAAATTAAGTTTATTTATTTAATTTTTTTTTAACTTGGATAAGCACATACAGATGCCGAAATTATATCAAAAAAAAAAATTAAATAATTTTAAAAATTTTAACTAAAAACTCACCTTGTTATTGTTAGATCACGATGCAAAAAGTTTCAAAAAATACAAATAAAGTACGTAAAAAGCTGTTGGCAAAATTAAAAACAAAGCTTATTTGCCAAAAATTCAAAAAAATTAAATTATTTTAAAATTATTTTAAAATTTCAAACTAAAAATTTACCTTGTTATTTTAAAGTCATAATTAAAATATTTTTTAAAATTAAATTTAAAATTTAAACTTAAAATTCAGCTTGTGACTTTAAAAGCATAATTCGCAAGAATTCAAAAACAAAAAAGTACGTAAACTAAAATCACAAAAAAAGATTTTATTTCCAACATAATAAAGAAAAAAAAATTATTAAAAGAATTTGCAAATATAAATTTAAAATTTAAACTTAAAATTCACTCTGTGATTATTAAATCATATTAACACCTCATAACATCAAGTGTTGCATGTCATCTAAGCAGTGGCTAGGCAACTAACTGCCAGGCAATAAGGTCATTTTGTGACTTTTAATCGCAGCTACATCACACCTCATGACAGCAAGAAGTGAGCGTCACTTAAGTACTGCTTAGGCACGATGCCTGGACTTGTTATATGAAGACAGCTGCGAACTAGTTGTCTTCCAGGTCATATAGGAACTTTTAAATCACATCAATATCACATCACATATGCTCTTGAGAGTTACCTGCGCACTGGCGAGGCTACCTGGTGATATTTAAAGCACATCACATAAAGGCGAAATAGCCACTTGCACTCTCAAGGACTGCTTCAATATTTATAAAAAGTCTATATTTCTGCTTATCAAGATGTATATTATGTCTAAATGAGAGTTGAAGTGAAGATGCTGCTCGCTACATACACACACTCTTCAACTCTGATCACTTAATAATGTTGCTTCTCACTTATTCACCTACGCTTCAGCTTTATTTATTTTATTGCCAGGTAATCACAAGCAGCCAATCGCTTTAGCTAACAGATAGCTACGCTGACGTGCGCGCTACTTGCTTACAAAGCATACTTTCAGGCGGCTTGAGCATAATTTAATTGAAAGCAGAAGAAAGTGGAAAATTGTGCCGAACAAAAACAAAACAAAAAAAAAAACAAAACAACCCAACTGTCTTTATAAACATATCTATTC